GAGGAGAACGATGGGGGATGCGCCGAACCCAGTACGTGCACACAATGCAAGGATAGTTTGTATCGATTTGTGGTGGGCGGCGATTGCCCTAGGAGCTGTAGTATCTTCAGTGAGAATTTGGATCGAATTTTTCACTATTCATGACAGGGGTGTTTTGTGCAGATAGGACTCGAGGGGAGCAGGCTTCGCTGACCGAACTTTCCAAGCCTATTCGAGCGGCCTCAATTTCCCCACGTCTGGTTCTGACTGTGATACATGCGCAAAAGGAGCGTCACGTAGCCTGAGAACCAACGAACTGTTGCAAACACGTAGACGCCTGGCACCTCGCAATGTTTGCTTGGGGTCTCCCGCCATTGTTGGAACGGGGTCGGCGTCCGCCACCAACCGTAAGACCTCCAGCATCAGCCAGATCCAACAATCAAGGCTAGGTCTCAAGATCCATGGATAGCCACTGAAAAAAGCACTGAAAAGCTGTCAATGTTCTGTTTGAGAAGGTTTACAAATGCTCCTTGCAATCACAACGCCGACGGAAGCTTGTGGTGAGATACCAGCTGAAGAGGGTCAACTTTGGTCTCCACTCTCGATTGGCTGAGAGAAGATGGCTGAGAGAAGACGCTCAACAATGGAGAATTCAGTGGCATTAGTTGTTCAAGTGTAAGTGAGAAATTCCCCTTCAGTAAAATGGAACTGTACTAACAGAATTTCTGAGCAGGTAGAATATAAATGACGCAGATTCACTTCCAGGAGGAACCCGAGCATGACTTTGCTTGCAATGGACTGTCGAAGTAAAAAAGTGAAGAAGTGTGTGGAGTTAGTGAATCACTGTCGGAGAAACTTAGGTTGATACGGATTTCGTTTGAATGAAACGGAAATCTACGCTCTTGTTATATGCTGCAGTTATTGTGCTTATTTCCTCCAATTATGATTCCCTTTTTCGAAGTCTTCGAAAAATTTTCATTTGACGTAGGTATACAAAGCCTAGTCGCTATTTCCCGCAACCTCCTTGTACGGCATTGCATGGGTTTGGTGTTGAACTTCTGATTATAAGCTTAGAAGAACAACATTGCTGCTCTCAGTTTTTTATGCACATTGCACTGTTCCATCTTCAAATGAGATAATACTATCAAGTATATTGTACACACGAGGCAGGGAATCATGAAGTACATTGCCGGTCGAGATCACACCTGAATATGACTGCAAGTAATAGCTCTCCTTTGATTTGATCGAATCTCAGGCATAAGGTAGTGGTAAAAGTTGGAAAGCTGAGTATTTTCCTGGGCTGTAGTTGGGGGTAACTGAGTTTACTTGTGACCTAACCCTTGAAAAAGACCATGGCAAAGCCTTGGTGAGCATTTTTAGCAACTCCCTTCAGCTCTTGATGTGCTGCACAGCCATTGTCATAGTAATCCATGTCTTCTTTCGATGAAAATGTAGAGATAGCCGCAATTGTGAAACCTTGGGCCCTTTGGTCGGCGACAGCTAGGCCGGCCTTCACCGAGACTATGTATGGCTTGCCATCCTACAACTGGTAAGCTCAGAGCTCATGGAGTGGTATCAAAACAATGCTAGCCAGATGGGTATCGATTCCGTACTCAGAAGCTTAGATGGTCATACTCACTTTCAAGGCCTTTTGGGGCATCTGCTGGTAGAGCGACAATACTTTATTCTGATTCTCCTCGTCTGGGATCTTGAAAAGAGTGATTCTCGTAATTTGTTCAGACATTTTCGTGAAGTTGATGACCTGGGTCTTCTAGAGTATTGAAAATTACGGGGCAATTTGGTGTCTTTGTCTTGTGGTAATTATCGTGTAATTCTCACAATAGCTGGCGTTAAGACTGGAATTTGATAGACCCGACCTTCCCCAGATCAACTTTCTTGTTGGCTGTTTTTACACTCGTACACATGGCACAGAAGCCGAGAAACTCCCATTGCCGAAGATCCCTGAACCGCCGGCAGCGGCAGATTCGTGATTGAAAGAGGGGGTTGTTTGCATTCCGAGCCGTCGGAACCAAATTTCGGATTCTCGGAACCCACCATTTAGATGGCTGTCACGGCGATCCTGGAAATGTAAATAGAAGTATGTTAAGAAACGAGATCGAACGAACTCGAATTACTAAGGCTTTGGTCAATAGAATCACTGAAGACTTCCCACGTCTAATTACGCAAGATGAAGTCCTGGCTTCCCATTCCACCCCGGTCGCACTTTTCGCTGCTGAACATTCCTTTCGGGGTGATTTCGAGCAAAGATAAGCAATTACACAGACCCGCTATCGCCATCGGAGAACACATTCTCGACCTTGATGCTTTTGCTACGGGCGGAGGTTTCAGTAAAGCAGCAAATGTGCCCGCCGAGCATGCAAAAGCGTTCTCACAGCCCACCTTGAACGCCTTTGCCGAGCTTGGCCGACCGGTGCATCGCGCCGTCCGTTCATACCTTCAGGACATATTTCTGAACGACACACCTCATCCAGACGTGTTGAAGGACAATGAACCCCTCAAAAAGGCGGCTTTAAGACCCATTTCGGAGGTGTCTGTGCACCTTCCATTCGCCATTGGAGATTACACAGACTTTTTTGCTGGCAGAAACCATGCTCACAACGTTGGTGTTCTGTTCCGTGGACCGGCCAACGCCCTTCAGCCGAATTACAGCCATTTGCCCGTTGCCTACCACGGTCGTGCAAGCTCAGTCGTTGTCTCTGGAACCCCTCTTAGGCGGCCTTGGGGACAGGCGCTGCCAACCCCTGGCGCAACCGAGCCCGTTTTCCGGCCATGTGCGCGCCTCGACATTGAACTCGAGATGGGCATGTTCATCAGCAAGCCGAACGACCTTGGTAGCCCAGTGTCTGTAAAAGACGCCGAGGAGCACATCTTCGGCTACGTCTTGATGAATGACTGGAGTGCAAGAGATATCCAGCAATGGGAATATGTGCCCCTTGGTCCGTTCAACGCGAAGAACTTCGGAACCACGATTAGCGCCTGGGTCGTACTTGCGGACGCACTCGAGCCATTCAGAATAAAAGGACTGAAGAATGAAACCCAATTACAGAAATATCTCCAAGAAGATCGGTCTGATAATGTTCTTGACATCAAGTTAGAAGTCACTCTTGCTCGTAAGTTGAAACCTCCCGACCGGCCTCCACACATTGCAAATTTGCTGCGTTAGAAGAAGCTTGGGCTAACCAAAGAACGCTTTTCTTCATGTTGCAGCTTCAGAAGGCGAGGAAACAACCGTTACTCGCACATCTGCCAAGAATCTTCTTTGGTCCTGGCCGCAGATGGTAGCTCATCACTCAATTTCTGGCTGTAATCTTCGTGCTGGAGACCTTCTCGGGTCCGGTACCATTTCAGGGGACCAAGCAGGGACGCAGGGAAGCTTGTTGGAGCAGTCTCAAGGAGGTAAAGTCCCAATCAAGCTAAATGGCGGGCAAGAGCGGAAGTTCATCCAGGACGGTGATACGGTAGTTATTCGAGGCTGGGCTGGCGAACAGGATGGCCAATTAGTTGGGTTTGGAGAGTGTGTCGGCCAAATACTGCCTCCAATCTCAATGTGAAGTAATGAGAGGATTAGGAATTTTGACGACTGTTGATTTGAATAACCAATGAATCATGCCGTAAAAGTCACATGACACCACAGCTTGGAAGTGTAAATCTTCGAGATGCTATGTCTTTCTTAGTCTTATCGAAGAGAGGTCATCCAGGCTCAACCAACTGGCATTTTGCAGATCACACTGCAGGTATTTATTTCAAAGATAGACATTGATGAAAACGGAACATCGAACTCTAGGATAGTACATGACGGCCCATTGCGACAAGGAGGCCAACCAGCTATTTCAGTGCTCTCGATTGCAGATACTTAACGAATTTTTGGGCTTCCTTCGAGTTGTGCAACAGCTGAATCACTTAGCTTATGAACGCCCAAGATCAAGCTGAGATCTGATGTAATCGTATTTCCCCCTCTCTAGATATCTATGCCCTTGACGTTGCCGAGTTCATGAGCCGCAACCAGGTAACTCGGAATCGTTTGTGTTCCGCATTTCCGAAGTGCCACACGAATTGACTTCAAACACTGCATCTTGCAGTGAAAGTGAGATTCCGTGACAATTAGTTCCGTAGCATTGATTCCATCATGTTTCATTTGCCTATCCCTTCGGATCACTGCATTGCGGGGTTGGTCACTTCGACTGCAGCGGTGGTGTCCCAATGTGCGCATCCCGATCACACGTGCCACCCAAATAAGCAGGTAACCAAGGCTTCTTATACTACATAAGATTTGCATCCGAGGGAGATAATAGCCACTGTTTCAAACCAAACAATTGAGGCATGCTTTCAAGATACACTCATCGCCTACTTTATCCATCTTCACGACTGTAACTGTGTTTCGGGACTACGTTCCTCATCCGCATACAACCATGCCTGTGACGAATTTCTCCACTGAGGAGAAGTACGAGTATCTCAATGGATTTGGGTCCCTTCATGAGTAAGTATAGGTTTCTTGAATGAGTACTAGTGCCGAGCCCCATTATTTCATCAACCTGGTGTTGACCAACAATCATTTAGATCAGAAGCGATCAAAGGGGCTCTTCCTATCGGTGCCAATTCTCCACAAAAAGCGCCGTATGGCCTGTACGCCGAGAAGCTATCCGGCACTGCGTTCACAGCACCTCGTCATGAAAACCTCCAGACTTGGCTTTACCGTATTATTCCAGCTGCCTCACACTCTACATTTGAGCCGTTAAAGCAAAACAGACCTGACTCTGGAGGCAAACTTCACCAAATCCCGAATCAGTTGCGATGGGATCCGTTTGACATCAACAATGAGACAGATTGGATCAGCGGCCTCCGACCAGTCGGTGGCGCCGGGGATCCTAGCATGAAAACGGGTCTCGGAATTTTCATTTTTGCTGCTGGTCGAAGCATGGATTCCAACATGGCCATGTATTCTTCTGACGGAGATATGTTGATCGTTCTCCAGCACGGTGTGCTTGATATCAAGACCGAGCTAGGCAACCTACTAGTCCGGCCCAACGAGATTGCCGTTATCCCACGCGGTATCAGATATCAAGTCAACCTGCCCAAAGGACCGGTCCGAGGATACATCCTCGAGCTTTACCAGGGCCATTTTGTACTCCCAGAATTAGGCCCTATCGGTTCCAACTGTTTGGCCAACGCACGAGACTTTCAAGTTCCGACGGCAGCCTTTGATGAGGATGCAAGCCAGTGGTCAATTGTCAACAAGTTCAACGGGGATTTCTTTATCGCAACACAGAATCACACGCCATTCGATGTTGTAGCCTGGCATGGCCAATACTACCCATACAAGTATGATCTTGGTCGCTTCTCTGTCATAGGCAGCATCTCGTTCGATCACCCAGATCCGTCTATCTACACGGTTCTCACCGGTCCATCGGACCACCCGGGCACAGCTGTGGCTGACTTCGTGATCTTCCCGCCTCGTTGGCTTGTGCAGGAAGACACCTTCCGCCCTCCATGGTACCACCGGAACACCATGTCTGAGTTCATGGGCCTCATCTGCGGCGACTATGACGCAAAGACTGGTGGCGGCTTTCAACCTGCTGGAGCGAGTTTGCATAACGTCATGTCTGCCCATGGCCCTGATGCTAGCACGTTTGAGCGGGCGTCAAATGCCGAGTTGAAGCCGCAGAAGATCGGCGAGGGAAGTATGGCTTTCATGTTTGAGAGCTCTCTGATGATTGGAGTGACGGACTGGGGCTTGGAGACATGTCAGAAGGTTCAGAAAGGATACAGTGAAGATAGTTGGACGGGACTGGTGTCCCACTTCAAAAGGCTAGAGTAATGTGTACTGTCATAAGCGGGTTGGAATTCGTATCATTAGGGCAGCTATATATGAAACAGATTGTATCAAGATGTTGAGGAGACAGCACCTTGCACCGATACATTGTGTAAGGCAAGTGTAACCAAGCGGCATCGTCACTTGTGTGTGCCTTGATTGGTTCACATGAGCTCTTAGTCTCCTTTCCTTTGGAGAAACGAACTGAAAGTTGTTCAAGACTTAAGATGGTTTGATGTGTTCACTTACGCCTTTTTATAATATTAGCTGAAAGCGCATTGGTTTCACCATGCTTACAACCAGATGAGGTAGTATATTTGGCTAGCATCCAATTTCAATTGAACATACATGTACGCTAGTCAACTTCCCTCTCGCCTAATTTTTCTTGGCATCTGCTGTTAGTGAATGAGTGAGCCTACCACCAAATTACTAACAGCCGAAAACTCTTCACCTCCCCTTGCCGGAGCCCGCATCCGCGATGGCCTCACAGCCGCCGTCGGGCACCGGACTGATGTCGGCCGACCAAGCCGACCCCGAACCAGGCTCCGGGACACCTCCGGAGCCGAACCCCACCTCAAGAGCTAAGCGACGCCGCGACGCCGAGGCACAGCCGACCCGGCCCAGCCTAACGGGAAGCCAGCTTGATGCCACCACCGACGCCCCTACCTCGGCCGAGGGGCCCGCAGCCTCTACCGCATCTGCTCCGAGCGGATCTGCCACAGGGTCCGTCTTGACAGCCCTTGCAGAAGAAGCTAGACAGTACGAGGCACGGAAAGACGTCTTTCTGACCATTGCACGGTCCGTCGACAGCGTTGTCGCCAGCTTTGACGGTTCTAGAAAGCAGATCGCGAAAGAAGCCACTGCCTATGTCATTCAAACCCTCAAGAGACTGATCAATCACGAGACAAGCCCAATAGCGGCCCGGAGTTGGGCGGCTGTCGTCGCACCGATGGCGGGCAACACCACTGCGGCGACCCGGAGCGGCCAGAGCTGCCAGAGCTCTGCCCGCCCGAAGGCCACACTCCCCGCCGAGGATCAGCCGCAGGCGCAGCCGAAGGAGGACCTCCGCATCTTTGCCCGCGTCCCGGAAGAAAGCTTAGCGGCCGCTCGGAAGATCGCACCGTTCGCCGTACGACAGATCGTCTGTAAGGCCGTTGGCCTGGGGCTAGCGGACCTTCCCCACGTCTACCATATCAGCACAGGTTACTCTCTGAAGCCGCGAAACAAGCAAATACAGGAAAGACTACTTACAAGTAAGGCAAAGCTGGCGGAATGCCTCGGCGCCCACCAAGTCGAGACGCCTATCAAGTGGCACACATACGTTGTGCCGCGATGCCCAACAAAACTACACAGCATTGGCGGGGACGTCCTGGACCCAGCCACACTCGTTGAAGATGAGGTCTTCGCACAGACAGGACAGAAGCCTGTCCTTGCTCGACCGTCCCGCCTTGGGCCCAACCCAGTCACGAACGAAATATCTTGGCTCATATCATTCACATCAGAGGTCACGCCCTTCAGGCTCTTCAACCAAAGCGGCAGATCTCTGCCCATCAAAAAAACGAAGGACGCTCATCCGACATGACCCCGGCTGCCAGGGCTACCACGCCAACCGGTTCTGCGGACGACGACCGACTTGCAGCAACTGCGGAAGACCTTCCGACTCACACGAAACGGGACCTTGCATGGCCAGGCCCCAGTGTCCCAACTGCTGCGGCCCCTTCCAAGCCGGCCACACAGACTGCCCAGCGAGGCCCTCGGTCGTAAACGGCGTCGTCTCCCTTCCCGGTCGAAAGGAGCGGGCTCGGATCCGGAAGGCCGGCCAGAAAGCATCGGACACTCTGTACAAGGCTACTCGATCCGACAGTAGCCAGGAGGCGGCAGGCGTCCCTACCTCCACCAGCCAGAACCAGCAACCCGGCGCCAAGCGCGCGCGCACGAGAACGCCCTCCGCAAGCTCGATCGTTTGCCTCGGTGACGGAAGCACTGACAGCAGCAGCATGGATGAAGACGAGGCGGACGAAGGCGAAGGCGAAGACTCCCCCGACAACACCTCCATCGACCGTCCCGTGCTACCCATGCCAAGCAGGAGCCAACGGCAGCACAGAAGCCAAACTACAACGTCGCGAATGCCTACACCCCCTCGAACTCGACTCGGAGACGTAAGCCGAGAGCGGCGACCCACGGATGCTACGCGTTGCGCAGGGCAACGTCGGAAAGATTCCCCGGCGCACACGGCTTTCCTGCAGCTCTGCTGGGAGGCTCAGATAGATGTGGTCCTGTCCAGAACCCTGGACGGGCTGGAAGGACGGAAACGTGCAACTGAACACGCACCCGGGTTTCGACTCTTTCGTCCCGGTCGAC